GGAGCTGAAATCCTCATAAATAATTATTGAGTTTAATGCATTTGACAGGGGAAATGATTATGGTAAGTATAACTGTGTATATTCATTGACATGTAACACAATTAGTGGGACAGAAAGTTGTTGTGTGGACAATGAGTGCTTAGTTGACAAATTAGGATGATGGCTGTGTTTGGGGCTGAACAGAAAGGGAAATTGATAATAATGGTGAAGAAATTAGGCTGGGGCACAACACTGCCAAGGATAATAAAACTGCAACTGAGTGTGTCCTTCAAAGATTCCCCAGAAATAATAAGACAGACACTGAGCATTTACTGTTTGAGGAAAAATAATGAAAGTGCTAGAGCACTGAGGAATATAAGGCAGGAAGACCAAAAAAAAAAAAAAACTGAACATGGGACATACCACAATGAGCATTGAGCAATGAGAAAAAAAGATGCACAATAAGCAACAAGCAAATTTGGAAGGTGCCTGGCATTCATAGAAGGGCAAAAGACCCCATACAAGTGTTGCTTTTTCAATATCATTTAAAAAAGATTACAAATATTTTATTGAAGCAGTTCTGAGATCTAAAGACTATGGATGTATTAGAGATTATGGGTATGAGTTAAGACTATAGTTGATGGTGTACACAGCACTGAGAGATCACACAGATCAGGAGGGAAGAAAAGTGCCACTGTTACAATTGGATATCTAGTCCTTATATACAGGTCCTGAGTACATGTGTAATACTCTATATAAAAGGTAAGTAGATAACAGGTATAATGTAAGTGGTTGCTATAAATAAGCAAGTGGGAAACATAAGTAGATATTGCGAGAATGACTACACAGCTATGAGAACAACTACACAAGAATAGGTATATGTGATGGTAACAATGAGAACTGAGATATGTTGGTGAGACCAGATATAAGTACACTACAACTAAGTATAGACTGTTCCATAAATAACTAGCTAATTGTACCTTTATTTCCAATATTCCAACGGGATGTACTATTCAATTGAAATGTAACTAATCAGCAGTTTAAACAAACACTGGTTTAAATTTTTAGTTTAAATTCCAGTTCAGTTCAGTTTAGTTCATTGCAGTTTGTTGAACTAAACTTTCATCCCTAATTAACCTCAGCCCTTTTTGCAAGTAAAAGGTTTATAATAGCTCTATTTCCAATGATTTCAGCAGCCTGGAAGGGATTGTCATAGTGGCCACCCCAAGAGTTAACATCAGCTCCTCTTTCAAGTAAAAGGCTTACTATGGTCTCATTTCCAGTAGCTACAGCAGCCTGAAGGGCACTGCCATAATAGCCACCCTGAGCATTGACATCTGCACCTTTGTCAAGCAAAAGGCTTACCATGGCTTCATCCCCCTTGGCTGCAGCAGCCTGGAGAGCACTACCATACTGGCCACCCTGAGCATTGACAGCTGCACCTTTTGCAAGCAAAAGGTTCACCATGGCTTCATTTCCCTTGGCTACAGCAGCCTGAAGAGCATAGCCATAATAGCCACTTTGAGTATTGACATCAGCTCCTTCTGTAAGTAAAAGGTGTACCATAACCTCATCTCCTTTTGCTACAGCATTCAAAAAGGCATTGTCATAAAGAATACTCTCATCTGCCCCCCTTTCAAGCAAAAGGTTTACTATAGTCTCATTGCCATTGTCTGCAGCAGCCTGAAGTGCATTGCCATAGAATCCACCTTGGGCATTGACATCAGCTCCTTTCTCAAGTAAGATGTTTACCATGACCTCATTCCCATTGTCTGCAGCAACTTGAAGTGCATTGCCATAAAATATACTACCCTTAGCATTGATGTCAGCACCATGTTCAAGGAGAAGAATCACCATGGTCCCATTATTGCAAGCTACAGCATCAAAAAGAGCATTACCATAGAGGCCTCCCTCAGCATTGGCATCTGCTCCTTTGTTGAGTAACAGACTAACCATTGCTTCATTTCTGTAGGCTACAGCAGCCAAAAGTGCATTGCCATAGAGGTCATTTTGAGCATTAATGTCAGCACCTTCTCCAAGTAAAAGATTCACCATACTCTCATTTTTGTTAGCCACAGCGGCCAAAAGTGCATTACCATCATTAGAATTGGCTCCATTTTGAAGTAGAAGATTTACCATGGCTTCATTACTGTTGGCTACAGCACATTGAAGGGCACTTCCATATTCGCCACCAAGGGCATTGACATCAGCACCTCTTGCAAGGAATAAATTTACCATGGCCTCATTTCCTTTGGCTACTGCAGCCAGAATGATGCCACCTAATTGGCTATCTTGAGCATTGGCATCTGCTCCATTTTTCAGTAAGAGATTCACTATAGTATCATTTCTCATGACTGCAGCAGCATGAAGGGCATTGCCATATTGGCCACCCTGAGCATTGACATCTGCTCCCATTTCTAGTAGAAGATTTACCATATTTTCATTTTCATCAACTGTAGCAGCCTGAAGGGCATTGCCATATCTGCCACCCTGAGCATTGATGTCAGCTCCTTTGTCAAGTAGAAGATTTATCATGGCCTCATCTCTTGCAATGGCTGCAGGAGTAACCTGAATGATATTACTATAAGAGCTGCTCTGAGTATTGACATCAACATCATATCTTACAACCCCATTAAAGCTAGTTGAATGTCTATGTCTTGAAACTCTTGATGCAGCATAGAGTGCTCCTTCCAAATCACATTTATAACAAGAATTGAGTAGATAATGGCTTGCTGTCAATAAACCTTCCCATATCAAATAAAAGATTGGACCAACATCTTTCCATTCATCCCAATAATCTTCAAAAAAAAACAAAATACTATCATCGAACACTGTACATATTTGAGTCCACTGCTTAAAAGATGGCCACCCCGTGGTAGCAAATTCTGCTATCTTCTGATGCAGACAGCTCTTACCATCCTTTTCTTCAACAGCTCTTGCATGTTTTGTCCATTTATTTACAGCATATCTTCCTAATGGATAGTCTTTTAGACTAGGCCCAACTCCTTGGATGTAAAGGAATTGTATGTATTGCACTAGATATACTATGCATGCTTGAGCAATTTTTTCATGTGCTATCAGTTCATTGATAGGAAATAGACTGACAGTGTGAGATAAATTGTTTTGGGCAATTAGAAACTCCTTAACAGATGCATGTGCAAGATGGACATGTGAGTAAATATCAACTGTCACCAGAGTAGAGTCAATAATTAAATGCATTTTTACATTCTCTTTATTGGCTTGTTCTATACAGTTGTTCTGCAAATCTATTGTCAGAATTTCTAATGCTTGTTTAACAGTCGGAGGCTCAAAGGAGTATAATATCCACAGGAGAAGATGGTGAGCCTCTTCTCTGGTCTTTTTCTTCCAAGTCCGCTGCATTGCTTGATAATAAGTCTGCTCCAAGTCATCAGGCAGGTCTTTCAAAGCTTCATATACAGCTCTGGGTGTTCCACAATCCTCAAGCACCTTCAGTTGACAGGCCACCCAGCGGAATCTGGATGCATATGATATTTCATAATTATATGGTAATGAATATTTCAAAACTTACTGTCCTTGGGCTTTTTCCTTCAAAGTGTTAAGAACCTTTGCTCTTAGATCTCCATTAAAATCATATTTTTCAATTTCTTCTTCTAGATACACCTCTATGTCACTGTCAACCCTATGATTCAATGAAATAGTGAGGTATTCTTTTGAGATATCTTTCATTGGACTGTATCGACTTGTCAACAGAATGCCAAACTGCTTAGGAAGGCTTTTCAGCCATCCCAAAACCTTTGAAGGTTCACTGCACTCATCCATTGCATCTAACACAAAGTAACCACCATTTATATCCTTGAAAACCTCTTCAAGGACCATAACTAGGTCCTTTACAGGTGGTGAAGACCCACTGAGGCCTTGATTACTACATTTGTCAAACAATCTCTTTAGTGCAGAATGGATGCTTTTGCTATTGGCACCAACCCGGTGCAAAAGAGACAATAGGAAGCCCCTAAATGTCAACTTTTGGCCTGTGTTATCACATGAATCAAAGTAGTGATACCAGACATTGACCGGGGCAATTTGCTCGAGGTCTCTGATAATTGTAGTGCTGGCGCAATTAAAAAAAGATTGTCAGTAACTTCTGTATCACTGACCTTATAAAACTCACGATAGAATGGTCTTGCCTGATCCAGCTTCAATGATTTGTTAGTAATGAATTATTTTATCATTAATTTATCTGTACCTTTACCCTGAATCCAAAGTACATTTGATTCTGGGCCTTGCTTCCACTTGATATATTCAGGATGCTCAAGAATCCATTGACCAGTACCCTCAACTCTCTTGTCATATGCAGCTTGAAAGTTTGTGGTGCAATCAGGAGCGTCTAGCCATTTTTGAATCTCTTCCTTTTCATCGTTTGCTTTCAAAAGCCGGAATCCCTTGAATACATGCCAAAACCAGTGTGGAATTATACCTTACAAACTACTGTGAATGTTCCACCGTGTATGGAAAAGTGGGAAGCATTCGGGAACATGCTATACACCAGTCTGGTATGAGATTTCGCGCAAGGAAATCATAATTTTCTTACGTTCCACTTGTAATCACTGTCATTTCCGAGTCTCTGGATTGCAGGGTACAGTCAATTAAATGAATGAGTTACTGAGTTAGTATATATATAATCAACGTACCGCGTGCGGCGTACATCATTCATGATGGGCGAATTGTGGAAGTGGCAGATGTACGAGTTCGCCCTTATATATGTCACCTTTCAAGGTCTCATGACTCGATGAATCGCTTTGATCGGCTATCGTGCATCTGATCGGCCCTTATCGTTGCCGCTGGGATCGCTATCTGAATTTTTCGGTTATATTGGTTACAATTTGAGTTGAATAACGAGTTGAAGTCATTTCTGCATCCACAATACATTGACTGGTGATTAGCAACTCCTGCAAACTTTCCATTGAACTGGGGTAATCCGGTCTAACTCGGGTGTGACCAATGCTTCAGCTTTCTCAGAATGCACAGCATGTCACAAGCAGGCATTAATGGGGTAGTGGTAACCTGGGTCGTTGCCATAAATGATTTCTGAACATGTATCTTTTCGACCCGCCGGGGGTTCGATTCCCTCTTAATGCAATAATTATAATGTTGAGCTGTGATTTTTTTTGTTGGCAAAGAGAGGGAGTTTGGAGAGTTTCGGTCTGTTTTTATATGAAATCGAAACTTGTAATTTTGAATTTGTTAAGTTTTATGCAAGTGTCAATTGCGGCGGCCCTGCTGTAGTTACCTTTTTGGCTGGCACTTCTTAGGGGAGTCGTGTTTCCCGAGATTGGACGGGGTGGTGGTGGTCAAGTTTTGATTGGCCAGTACTCGGTAGATACGGAACTCGTTGAATTTGTCAGAAGGCAAGTATAAAGGAATGATTTGGAACACTTGCCAGCTATTCTCACGACGGCATCATCTGGCATGAATATCCAGGTGCGCAATTTGTTCTCTCATATAAGGATTCCTCGAGTCGAGCGCGAACGATTTCCTTTTCAGGTATGGAATTTTTCGAGGACTAATGACATCGTGTTTGGGTAGGTTTGTCGAAACTGAAGATGGTCCCGGTCTCTGTGCGAATGATTCTATTGTTGGTTTAGGTATTTCCATATACGTCGTTCAACTGGCACCCCTTGCGCATTGACTGCGCGAGGTGGAATGTGGGGAATTGTGATTGTTTTTGATTACCCGACTGAGCTAAGCTAAGCGTTGTAAAATTGACGTCTTGGCTTGAATATTTGAATGAGGTGGGATGTCAATAATGATTAAATGATGCGTTGGTAGAACTGTGCTACTAAGGCATTAATGGGGTAGTGGTAACCTGGGTCGTTGCCATTAGTAAAGTACTTTCGGTTTATCTCGACCCGCCGGGGGTTCGATTCCCCCTTAATGCATATCACCGCAGTTTTGATATGGTCTTTTTTTATTTTTATTTTCGCTTGAAGCTGACAGTTTGATGCGAAAAGAAAATGTTTATTACACTGCGAGTGATTGGTCTGCTGGTGTATTTAGTTTGTTTGTTTGTTTTTTTTTTGACTAAGCGACAATGGGATTGTTTACGTGGATGTTCGGTTGATTTCTTGATTTTTTTTCATAGGGATTCTTTCGGCCAAGTTGTACTTCCCTCAAATGTATTGTGGCATCGGTAGGGCAACGCATCCACAAACTAACATTTTCTTTTTTGTTTCCCAGGTTCTGTTCTATGTACCTGATTATTTGCCTCCGCATCCATATCTGCCATGACTCCAGAACTCCAGAATATGCAGGTAAGGTAGCTACGTATGCGACACCAACTGACATGATTTTTCTCTCTAATTTTTCCAGGTTAGGATTCATTACTTTGAGCTTTGAGTTAATTGGTACCATCTATCTGGAAGGGTTCAGCCAAGTAGGTATGCATTAATGGGGTAGTGGTAACCTGGGTCGTTGCCATGACTCGTTGATGTTGGGTTTTCGGTTTTCGACCCGCCGGGGGTTCGATTTCCTCTTAATGCATTTGCAATTCACCTGCAAAATGTTTTTAAATTTTTTTTTTGTTTCCTCGTGTTGGAAGAGTTTTTCGGTAGTATGTGCAGATTTACGCGAGTGATTGATCTGCATGACCGCAACTGCGATGATCTTTACAAATGTGGTGATCGAGTTTGATTTCCATCTAACGAATGATTGAGCTGTACGTACGATTTTCCTCTCGTAATTTTTCCAAGTTGGGATTTCTCGAGTGTACTACTGTGAGCGTTCGAGTGAAATGGTACTATAAGTGAACGCTTCGGATAGGTATTGGATAGGG